GAGCTCGGTCATATCCACAACGGTTGCAAGGATTTGTTGTTTTTTCACGGATCGATGATGTGCTTTGTTCACGGAAAATCTGAGACGAAGGTCGTTGTCGTTGTTGTCGATAATTTTGGACTCATTTGATTGTTTCGTCTGAATTTACTTTCTTCTCCATCTCTTTAGCTTGTGTTCGGGTTTCCTCGTCCAACTCAGCTTCTTCTAGAATTTGGTCGAGCGTCCAATTCTTGCGTATTGCTTTGATGCGTACGACATTGTTCGTCATTGTTTTTATTAAGTGGTCTCGAATAGCTTCGCTCTCGTTTGAGAAACTGCATTTCTTTGCTATTTCCCTGATGCGTGTATAGTATCGAACAAGCGATTAACCGTGGTTTTGCTTAAGATTTCCGAACTGAAATCTAGCAAAATCTTTGTTCTTCTTTGGTAGAAAATGTTTGTTGAGTTTGATTATGAGTTGTACATAGGCATCTTCACCGGCTTCGTCGCCTGTAGCGTCGAGAAGTGTGTCTTCTAAAGCTGCGATTATTTGACCGCCGTAAATGATTAAACCGTCTTTCTTCATCTCTGGGTCTGTGATCCCAAAGTAGCGAAACTGTCTTTCGATATTCCGTAGCCATTTCTCCCATCCTGAAGCAGTTTCAGTGCGATTTTCGTTGATCTGAAATGGTCTCACGTTGAGTTGGCGGTTGGTCACGCTTATATTATTTACGCTCGCGTTCGTCTCAGAGCTAGAACCTTTTTTCTCCTTGTCGTGGCTCATAATTTCTTGCTCTAGATCAATCTTTAGTACATCCTCGTCGCCAATGTAGTAATTTAAATACTAGTATAATAGTTCTTCAAGGAAGACAGCTCTTCGCTTAACGTTTTATTCTATACTACAAATATTCTCAGTTTACACAAACATGCTCACGCTAATATCATGCTAATATCATGCATAATTAATTGTACATTAGTTCCGGTAAGGTTTATGATTGGTTGTTACACCCAGTAAAGTCACTTGTTTGGAATGCAGGACTTTGTAACCTTCAGTTAGTAGGACTAAGGTCCAACCAGTAATCTTTGTAAGTGGTCGTGTTTGCTGTATTTAAGTTGGCTTAGTGATAGCATAGAATAACCAAAACCTTTGTTCTGCTTGGTCTATGTGGTTTAGTGTTAGTTGCACAGGCGCCCTAGCCAGAGTTCTATTATTTTTGAAGATATATTTCCTGAAGCACACAATATCAATGCAGAGTGATTTTCTCTTTGCTCTTACTCTTACTTTATCACTTTGTTATTAGATATGTAGCATAAAAGAGCAGAATACAAAACTGATGAATCACCACATGGTTATATTTCATGGCTGAATATTTGCATTTTATTGCTTCACCAAGACAATGTTAGTAAGCCTAGGGTGAACCACTGAACCAGGTAGAGCGTTTTGCTATCCGGCCAGAATATCCAGTCGGATATGTTTAAGGTTACAGAACACCTTTGAGTGTTAATTTTGCCTAAAAAATTTTTATTGGTTTCAATGAAAGCATTAGACAAGTTCTACTATCTGACCAAGTTTGAACGGAAATGTTGAAAACTCGCAGAGTTATTTAATAAAATACATTTCGCTGCAATAAGAAAAACATTGAAAATGTAATATTCAAATTCAATTTTCTCCCGAAAATTTTTACGGAAATGACTGATTTTCAAACGAGTTATGCTCCCGCGGGTTTTAACCAATTTTTCTCAAATTTTCACATGACATAGCTAAAGACGTCAGTTTCAAAATTGTGTTCGGCTTTTTTTAATTTTGGATATTCTAAAAATAAAGAGCAATTTACTAAAACAATTCAGAAATATATTGCAGTTGTCAAAGAAATCGCCATATCAGCGGAATGACAAAATAAACAAAAATTTCCGAACACAATTTTTTAGAACAACTATTTTACTGTATAAAAATGATATTTTCATAAATATAACTTAAAACCAGCAGGAACATAACTCAAAAGCGTAACGGTACCGCGATTTAAGATTTTCCTGAATAATTCTTACATTATTTTATTGTTTGTTAATTTTACAGCTTTACCGTATTTTGCATGCACTGGAGAACATTTGGTGAAAATTTGATGAAAATCGGACTGATATTGAGCGCGCAGTAGCGATTTTCCGCAAAACGCCAAAAAAGGTGCCCTGTAACCTTAATATATAAGCTAGGTTTGAGCTTTCAATTCATTTAAGGTAAAACAATGGTTTCAATTGACTATAAAATTACTCGACTGTTTATACTATTTTGAATCAAACACATGGATATTTACACTTCATTATAATGTTTTTTCACAATAGTCAATCTTTTTATTCTAACATTTGCATGCTCTCTGTTTCATGGCTGAAAGTGTCTGACTGTCTGGCAGCAGACAAAGTAACATATGACCATATGACTCAGTTCCAGCTAGAACTTTCTTCCAGTTCCGGCCAGATCCAGTTCCAGCCGGAACTTAAAAAAATGTTTTCTGGTGTACCCCTACAGATCTAGCCTAGAAAGGCGCTTGATCGTGTGTGCATGCCTATTAACTCATTAAGCCGCAATGCGTCCCAGGGCAGTGCACCCTACTTTTTTTGCTTGTCTAATGCCAATGGGGAAGCTCTGCACGTTAAGGGGTTAACCAAAAATTCTGACAATGTCTCTAGTTATTAAACCCATTGAGACGTAATGTGCCCCAGAGCCCCTGCTTTTTTTTACTTGTCTAACGCCAGACAATTTCACTCATCAATGGGAAACATGCATGTTACAGTAAGTTCAGATTGTCAACTAGGCATGTAATAACAATATACGAAGTAGACTTTCGCTTAATTAAAGTAGGTGCATAGAAAATAGTGCCTTGAATGCACAGTAGCTGCACTATTGATCAAGTATCTTGGTTTTCATCCAAGCAAGGCCTGATACTAGTTTATATTAGTCTGTTTATATGTCATCTGGTGTCTTTAATAGTAAATAGTCAACATTAACATCACTATGATATCTACATTTACCTTTATATCTTGAGTCGTTGTAATCCAGTTTCTGCTACAGCGCTTTCGATCATTTCGCGATAATTTAGACCAACACCGACCATTCCACGGCCGTAAAACCTTTCCAAAATATCTCTCTGGTTGTCGCTTATTCTAGTTCTCTTTCCTATCTCCATTTCATTGCACAGAATCGCAAAGAGACTAGAAAATCTGCTAGAAATGTTTTCAAATATGGCAGCTCAAAGCTCGAGAAGAACGTGTGATAGAAACACGATTGTGATTGGTTTATATATAATGATATGCTAAAGCGTCAGCGTCAGGTAGCGCAGGCGATAGTCTGGCACGGGTAATACCGAATATTCTCAATTGAGAACATATGGGTAATACCCGTTGAGGTGTATGCTAAACGGGTGATATATGAGCATGCATAAATTACATCTCCCTTTTTCTAAATTAAAAGTGATTATTACCAATTTACATAACGTAAAATGAATTATTTAAGAAATGAAGTCTATGTTTGGATTACGTGTTCAATTCAATATTTAAGTGAAGATATGCAAACAATATGGCAATCATGCTCCATATGTTCACGTCTTGTAGTTCGGATTCTGGTTTATCCGTCTGCCATAACGGCTTGTTTTCAGTTGGGGTGGGTTTGGCGCTATTGGGATTTGGATGCTGTTTCTTTCTGCATTGGTTGTTGGTTGTGGGATCGGGTCTTGGGGATCGTCAATATCCGATGTGTCTAGGTCAGCTTGATGTTCTCTAGTCTTTCGTAGATGTCTGCGATTCCGTCGACATTCCGTACCGTTCTCACTCTTTATTACGTAGCTTCGTGGTGCTTCGTGCTTTCGTATCACCGTCCCACGGGTTCATGCATGCTGCTTGAAGATCTTTCTTAAATCTCACTGTATCACCTTTTTCTAATGGAGGCAGAGAGTTAGCAGTGCGGTCATAGTGTTTTCTCTGTCGTTGTTGCTGTTGTTCACGTGCTGCGTGGAAAGTGGTTCTGTTAACAAGTTTTTGATTAAGCTTTCTTTGGGATATGGAAAGGGGTGAGCGGAGTCGTCTGCTCATTAGGGCTTGTGCTGGGGTGACGCCATCTATAGGGGTGTTGCGGTAATCTAACAACGCGAGATATGAGTCTTGATTGGCGACTTAGCATTTTTCAAGAAGGTTCTTGACTCTTTTGACTGGAGGTTCTTGACTGTTTTGACTGTCTTTTCTTACTGATCGACGGCGATGATCAGGATAAATTTAAGAGTAAACTCTGCAGGATGATCTGTGCGAACGACTTCAATAAAGGGAATATGTGCGAAGAAACTACGACTGTGAATGTTGAAGGCCGGACCGCCTCTCCTATGCGAGCGCCGTTAAGCGAGCTATCAACCGAGGTGGAAGGCATTAAACTCGATGTAACGATAGCAGAGCGGGAAATAGAAGTCAACAAAAGTGCTATGAGCAAAGTTGAGAGCAATCTACACGAGGTAAATAATGGCTACGAAGACCTTCGTCTACAGTTCGATGAATACAAGAAAATAACCGAAGTATTAATTCAGAGGGACAGGTTTCAACATTCGACAACATTTGAATATTCAAATGTGTTAATCCAAGCGAAACTAAACTGTACCAAGATGAAGTAAGCCGGCTCAAAAACGACCTTTCTAGCGAGAGAGAGAAATGCAAACGCTTGGAAGCTGATCTGTCTATTCTAATCAAAGGAAGATCTTGTGAAGTTAATGAATTGAACGATATTATTGCCTCTCTTGAATTTAAACTTAAAGCCACTGAGGCGACTATTGTCTCCTTGAGCGATCTAATTAAGACCAAAATCTCCAATTCAAAGCAGAATGAAAATTTCCCTAGCAACACTGCCACAAAGAAAGATAAACAATGCGCGGTCAATCAGCCGACCTACTACAAAGCCAAAATAATAACCTGATCAATGGCGCCAAATCTCGCGACGGTCAACACATGAAAGGTAATTCGAATACAAGGAAATTGCCAAATATTACCGAACTCAAATTCCCACTTCAAGTCCCTGGAGTGTCAGCTACTATGAATGAAGTCGACAACAAGGTTGACACATATCCCATTGTCGATGGTCACTACTGCAGTTTCAGGAACGTCAGTTCATCGACTTTTAATGTTCTTAAAGACATAGAATTTTTACCCCTAATCAGTCTGAACGAATCCCTAGAATACAGTCATCAAGTTTCTGTTGATTTCAAACGCCCTTTTCAGGATAATCCGGGACGGAAGCCACCCTCCCTCGATTGTTCGATCCCACCAGCGATCCCCAGAATGGCTAAATCACCTAGTCCTTGTCCGTCAATTAACGAACGCGTAATTAGCCCCAATACTGCTGATATTAACTACCCAAAGAATATTAATATAATAATGCAGCGAAGTACTAAAAAATATTTGAATTCTGTTCCGTCTATTGAACTTGTTTGCAAAATTCCTACTAGAATTACAGTTCGTCGAAATAATTTATGTGCCAAGACAAGGCCGAGAACTCATGCAAGGAAAGTTAATGTGAACAACTTATCACAATATCGTAAACATAAAACGTTTTACAAAGGGGCAAATTTAGCAAACTGCATTAAAATTAAACCTGATAGTGTTAAAAAAAACTCTTCAAACTCGTCACTGGTCCCCAAAATGGACGAATTAGAACATGTTATAAAGCAAAACAATGCAGATCTAGTTTTTATTAGTGAAACGTGGCTGAAAAGTTCCGTACCCGATGAAGTAATTGAAATCAATGGCTATAGAGTCTTTCGACGAGACAGAATAGGAAAGGAACATGGCGGGGTATGTATATATATAAAAGCTTCTTATGTAGTGAATGTTATCCCTGATATACCAAATGAAAATGAATGTGAAATGCTGTGGGTCAAAATCAACCCATGTAGGTTACCAAGAGGCTTTTCAACACTCGTCGCAGCAGTTTCATATCACCTACCCACTGCAAATAAGTCAGATATGCTAGAATACTTACAATCATCATTAGAGTTATTGGAAACCAGATATCCTAACTGCGGCTTAATCCTGGCAGGAGATTTTAATAAACTATCTATAAGACATATCAGCCATCAATTTCAACTCAGGCAGATTGTAAATTTTAATACTAGAGGAACAAGTAAATTTGTCCAACTTCTACGAAGAGCCTTTAAGTACTCCTCCACTTGGTTTATCGGACCACCTTACTGTTGTTGCCTTTTCTAAAGGAAAAATTCGTGGTAACCAGTCTAAAGAAACTATTATTAACGTGCGGGACAAAAGGCCTAGCAGCATCCGTCGCCTAGAAAGATTTTATGCGAAGTGCCATGGGACATAGTGGTTAATCCAAACCAGTCTTGTGATCAAAACCTGAATAACTTTACTCACGTTATAAAGTATGGACTTAATACCCTAATCCCACTGAAAACTGTGAAGGTTCATCAAAATTAAATGATCAACCTTGGATGAAAAGCAACCTGAAACGTTTGATTAAAAAAAGACAAAAGGCTCTTGCACAGAACGAACATGCTTTATATAAACAGTTAAGGAATAAAGTAAATCAATCTAGGAAAAACTGCCGTAAATTATATTATGAAGCTAAGGTGAAAGAACTCAAACACACTGAACATAAAGATTGGTGGAAGCAGGTGGTTTGTCTCTGTGGTCATCAACAAAAGTTGACGAGTAATATCTTTGCAAACCTGCAACAAGATACACAATACCTCGATTCACTTAGTAACTTGATAAATGACTGTTTCCTGGAACCTATGTGCGACTACCAGCCACTATCCGATAGTACCATTACCATGACCGATAATAATAGTATAATTTGTTTGACTGAAGAAGAGTTTTTAAATCGTTAAATGCTGTTAAGCTGGGAAAATCCAGTGGCCCAGATTGCCTGCCCAACTGGGTCTTAAAGAAGTTTGCAGTTATTCTAGCAATGCCAATCTCAATCATTATAAACACATCATTTAAGAAAAATCGAGTACCTGCCTGCTGGAAAATAGCTAACATCTGCCCAATCCCAAAAGTTAAACAGGTGATAGATGTTAATAAAGATCTTAGACCTATATCTCTTACCTCAACACTCAGTAAAATCGCTGAAGATGCCGTAATAAAATACGATCTAAACCCGCCTGGATTGTAACCAATATGGCTTCATACCAGGTTCTAATACCATCCTGGCTTTAATTACTTTAATCCACCGTTGGTCAAGGACAGTAGACAGAGAGGGAGGATGTGTGCGCTCACTGGTTACGGACTATCGGAAAGCTTTTGATAATATAGATCATAATACTCTTTATAGAAAACTTCAAGGAATAGGTCTAAAAACATCAACCTTAAACTGGATTTCAGACTTTTTGAGGGGAAGACTACAAAGGGTAAAACTTTCCCCGAACTGTTTTTCCAATTGGAAACCTGTCAATGCTGGAGTCCCTCAAGGAACTAAATTCGGTCCATGGCTCTTTTTGCTGATGGTCAATGACCTTGTAGTTTCTAACGATCAATTTGATGGGGATATGATGAAATATACGGACGATACTAATATTTCAGAATACATCACCGATTAGGCAGAAAACAGTTCTCTGCAAGAAGTAACTAATTCTATTGTTGACTGGTCTGAAAGAAAGAAATTCCAGCTTAATCCATCAAAATGTAAAGAACTTGTTGTGTCTTTTAAACGGAATGAACCAAATTCCCCCCCCCCCCCC